GGCTGAGCTGAGATGGGGATGCGGGAAGTAAGGTGTGTATGAACGGAGGGGATCTCACAATGTGCATTTTTGTCCTTCGATTCGTCAGTTCAGTGATGATTCTGTACAGTATCACGCTCAAATCCTTCAAATCGCTATAATATAAATTTCCGTCATTACTGTACTATCTCTATAAATCAAGGGGATTCCCAAATCAAGCTTTTTAAAAGCCTCTTTTTTCCTTTCAATAATATATTAAAAGTTCTGGTACAACTGACAGCACAAAACCCCTAACAAATCAAAACAATTGCAAACCTTGAGAAAAAAGCCGAGCCAAATCAACCAAATTGTCTGCAAACAATCAACACTTCAACTTGCTACATTTCCATGGTTTCGACTCCCACTCCTCTCTCTGATTCTGTGTGCATTACAAGTTGTGTTTTTTTTATTAGAAAAAGGCTAAAAAACTAATAACCTCATTGAACCGACAACTTGCCTCTCTCCTTAATGGACAGTAATTTTAGCTATTCAAAGCAAGAGAAAACCATACAAATCACAAAAGTTGAACAACTGCCTTCATTTACCATAGCATGCGCACACACAAAGGCACCAACACATGGAAGAGAAATATATGGCATTATAAGAGCAACCTACACATTCCACTACACTCACCTCCTCTGCCATAGTAATAGCTGGAAGTCTTGGATACAGTGAATTACACTTCCAAAGGTTCAAGTGGCTGTTTCCAGAAATCCATCGCAACCCTTAAGATGATTCTTGAAAACTTTCCATGAAAGGGTAAAAAGCACACGCCAGAACCAAACAACTCTGTCATCACTGTTTCAAAGTACTGACACTTCAGACTTCCTTTCCTCTATGCTATGCATAACGTAACCATTTGGCTACATCAAAACCTTTCACTGCCACAAAACACATGTATATCATGATCCACTTGCCCCCAGTACTGGAACTTCAAAATTTACCTGAAAATAGAAGAAAAAAAACACGTTTTCTCACATACTAAAAATAAGTTCAAAGAGTGGATTTTTTTAGTCAAAGAGTCATGCTAATGGCTGCTTAGACTAGAGAGACTTATAAAATAAGATAAAGAGAAAAGAAGAGGAACCACCTCTGTTGGCCTCCACATTATTCTAGCACACTATTAATTTTTAAGTTAAAACCTTCCTGCGGATGATGGCAAGTATTCAGGTCATAAAAATTACTGCAAATTCCTTTTTTTCCAGCCCCCCTCCTTCCTCCAGAGGGAAACAGCCCTGGCAGATCAATGTGTTTTGCTTTATTTTAAACATTAGTGTTTTTACACCCCCACTCACACATTTTAAAACATTTCGGAGGCAGGCTTCTGAAAATGCCTTTCAGAGTCAGCCAGATTTGAGAGAAATACTACATCCCAGCAGAAAGACTGAGATAGATGTACTTGATAAAGATTCTCCCCACTTGCCAATCGAACCCAGGTTTCCTACGTGTGACACTACAGCGAAGCGCTTAACCCCTACCACATAAACTCAGTTCAAGATCACATGACACAGAAATGATCAAATTTTCACAAATACATGTACATTGTTGTTGGTTCTGTCCATTAAAATAAAGGGGTTTCGTATTAGTTTTTTTTTTTCTTCTTTATAAATACAGAACGTAATATAATATATCTGAAACCAAGCAAACAGAACATAATATATTAACTGAAACACACAATGCGTCATTTTGTTAAAATAACTTTGTCTCTTCTGTCCCCACTTGGCATTAAATTGTGGAGTTATTGTTCACTTGTTTATTCCATTGTTCCTTCCACAGATTGGTGGTGTAGGTTTTTACTCCTTCGCCAGAAGACTGACCTGCCTCAAGGTTCCTCACATGCCTACATGGCTAGGTAGCCATGCAAGCAGCAAACACCATATATACACTTTCCCTGTTAAGACAAGAAGTGAATCCTCAACTACACTTTAACTATTTTAGGGTTTAAGAGTGTGACATTGATGAGTAAAGTGAGGCAAGACATGGAATCTGACAGAATTTGAAAAGATGGTTTTGGAGAGTTTTCTAACAGAGCCCTCTATGCCCTGTCAATGGCTATGGCCTCTGCAGAAAAAAATGGAGGTTTTATAAAGAAACTTCCTCTATTGAGTGTTGTTTGTGGATAGACCAGCAGTGCCCACAGCTGAGTCTGATTTAGAGTCATCAGTGAAGATTTTCTCTGCATAAACACCAACCCAAAACGCCACGTTCACAGAGAATATATATTTAATTTTTGATGCATAGTGGGTCAAATAGAGGGGGAGGTTAAACGTATTACTGTCAAAAGAAAATAGAAAAGGGATAAAAGATGAAGGGGAAAAAATTATATTTTTGTTTTATACACCCCATCGACAAAGTTTATATCGATTTGGGAGGCAGGCTTCCCACCCTGCATGTCAGGGTCAACCTAAGTTGAGAGGGATACAACATCCCTAGCAGAAAAAAAAAGATACTCAATTGAAATCTCTCCCAATTTAGGAATAGAACCCTGGGTGTAAAAGCAAAGCACCTAACCACTCCATCACAGATGATGAAGAAGACAAAGAACACAGAAAAGTTCAACTGAAAAACTGGGCCATGTACACCATGCAAGGAATAGCATTTAATAGGATAAGAAGAAGAGATAAAACTCGCACTCTAAATCTCTGTACATTGATTGACCTTCTTAACTGGGTATTGATTCACAAGCTAACTCACCCTGGTTGCCTAGGAACCACCTTCTGCCAAGGTGGGGAGAAAGATCAATAAAATCTTAATCAACACAAAGTATCAGAACGAACAACAAAAATTATGGAGCAGTTATCAAATTCATACATATGTTACGGTGCCATGTAGTAGCATGGAAGCAGGGATATCAATCTCATACAAAATAAAACAATTTCAATGAAAATTATCCAGCAAACCCGTACTTTTGACTAACCCCTATCCTATCAGAGATACTGAACTTCTGATAAAAGACACTTGAACGAGAATTATAATTTTAAATCAGCTTTGGTTGACTTGACAACAAGCTTCCATAAGCAGTCAACATAAATATTCACTCTTTTTATCGACGCACTCGCTCCAATTTTTTACTACAAGTTCAGACTTCGGGATGATATAGAGATAAAATAAGGTCATCTGCGAGGCATCATGGTGAAATCAAGCGCTCGTCAAAATACTGAAATTCAAGTAACAGGCATTTTTTTGCCAGTATGTCAATTTTTATCAAATTTTTGTTTTTTAGCAAAGCCTTATGTCCATCATATTTCCATGTGAATTTTATTGAAAAACTGATTAAAGGCACAAAATATATGTACATTTTCAGTTTTCAAGGCTTCCCAGGCTAATAAAGTTACCAAATTTGGGTGGCCATTTTCTTGCAAATTTTACCTCTGAAACCAGGCAACCCTGTTAGCCTCCTTCATTTGCAATCTCAACTTCTCTATTCAGGATAGATGGGTATTTTTTTCACCGAAAGCAAGGAAAATAAACAAGCTTTTCGATGATACCAAATACCTCCACATGCCCAAAAATTGACTAGCGCCTAATTCCACCGCGTCGTGACACATATTATATATTAATCACCATTAACTTCTTGAAAGTCATCCATAAAATAAAAAGGAAAAGCAAAATATATGTATCACTCTAATTGATTTTCCTAAAATGTACCAAGCAATTCCTTTAGTTTTGAGAACACAACAGGTAACAAAAAGGAAGTTGAAATCGCACCTGATTCAGAAAGTGACGACCCTTGATCCCAACAATTTGGCCACCAAAATCCCCTACCACCTGATCTCCCCCTAAATTCTCCTGTTTAACGGTGGATTTTTTTCTGGCTCCCTTGCGATTTCGTCTTACACAGGTATGGTTGTATTTGAGTTTTGAAGGTGGCCAGGTCTTCCTTGGGAGGGGCAATATTTAAAAGCTGCCATTTTAGCATAAAAATTTGATCAAATCCTCCAGAACTAAAATCATGTTTTATTTTTTGGGTCACCATTTATAATTAAATTTGATAAAAACATCCAGTCAGAAGTCTAATACTACATTTTTGTAAGTGAGGCATCATGGTGAAATTAGGCGCTCGTCAAAATAAAATGAAATCAAAGAAAGTGGCATTTTTTCTATTGGTTTGGCAATTTTTATAGAATTTTTGTTTTTTGGTTCAACACCTTTAAGGACCATTTAGAAATAATGTGCATGGGTTTTACTGAAAAATGTTGATTCAATGCACAAAAATGTCAATTTGCAGTTTCTAAGGACTCACAAGCTTTGGACGTCACACAAATTTGGCCGCCATTTTTTCGCTAATTTTACCTTCGAAACCAGGCGACCCCCACCTCCTTCAATCGCATCTTGACTTCTATTCATGATGCATTTTTTCAACAATTAAAAGCAAGACAAATGAACAAGCTTTAACCCTATCTGTACGCTCTAGGGTCATTTTATACCCCCGGGGTTGTATTTTTCACATTTTAGAATACTTCTAGTACAAAGATCTCTTTTAAACTTTCAGTATTTCTCAAAGAATCATTTTGACAGACTGCTAAAAATACTGCTATGCAAGTGTACGGATTGGAATAACAAGTAAATTTCCTCTTTGGAAAGTGGTGGCACAGAGTTCCCACGCCATATGGATACGATAGTAAAACATGACGTACGGAGAGGGTTAAAAAGATCAAAGTGACTATTTCTCCGAACACTCAGGAAAATAAACTTCTTGACCTGTATTTCTCCGGGTTTCCGCTCTCGAGATTTCTTTGTTATTTGCGAAAGTTCAGCGTCATCTTTTATTCTCTGCCATTCTGCAAGGACTGGGAAGAAGCATTTTTTACATCGAATTCAATTTCCAAAGCTAGAGATTTTTAAATGTCTGAATATTCAGATAGTCTCCACCTAAGATCCCACTGCTCATGGTCCTGGTTTGCCTATGATCTTGCTGTTTTGGAAAAACAGAATTTTTACTGTAAAAGTTACCCCTAAGATCGTGCACTGAAGGAGCTACATTCAGCTAAGATCCGGCTTTTCAGGTCATAATTTAGTAAAAATTTTTCTTTATTTGAGAAAAAAAAAAAGAATAAGAAACCTGGGGGCGCTCAGCTGATCAACCATGTAGCGAAAATGTGCGATGATTGTATGGTCCATCGCATTACGGATCATTCACTCACATGAATGCGATCACACCTGTGTTGTAAATGTTGATAAGCGGTAACAATGTTTACCCCACATGGGATCGCACCAAGGGGTGAACTCGTCGATGCCTTGCTTTCCCCGATCACCTGAGCCGTCCGCCTGATCTTACATCACCCACTAGGTGGGGAGGGCCTACAAACAAGCGTCAGACAGCATTCCATCAAACTGTGAACTCGTGGACGCTTACGCTAGGAAACAGGCCCACACCGGGTGGGGGTGAGAATAACGGGTGAGTTTAATAACAGTAGACAGGTAGCCTAGAGATCGGCACTCTTCGGGAGAAGTGGTCCCGGCCTAACTCCATAGACATATTTTAACAGTAACGTACACATTTGGAAACAAAAACCGGAAGTTGCCTTTAAAAAAATGAGGGGTACTCCCCCTGCCCCCCCAAAAAGCGCGGAGGGTGTTGATACCCCCTGCTAAATTCACAAAATAATGGTTTGTGGCAGTTTTTAGGGCCAAAACTGTTCTCAGCACACACAAAAAAACCCCGTTAGAATTCAGAGTGGTGCTGAAAATAGATAGATCTAGAATCTAGTCTCAAATACGTTTGGCAGGCAACTCAGTTCAGTTTAATTTACTCAACTTCTGTTTTTGTTTCCGATTTTGTGTATTACAAATTTCTACGGAGTTAGGCCGGGACCACTTCTCCCGAAGAGTGCTGATCTCTAAGCTAGAAATATCTACATCTAGATCTATCAATGAAGTATTACAATTTGAATTTGAGTCAAGTCAAGTTGCAGACCAAGAGGATGGGAACCGCCCAGTGACAATGACAAAGGATGATCACACTGCTCTGGCATTCTATGAAAAGTTGCTTTCATGTAAGATCTAGATTAGATTTAGATCTAGATCTAGATTTCCGAAAATAATGAAGTAATGGAGATGCAAATCTAAGAGAATAGATCTAGAATCTGGAACCGTGGATTTAGACCAGCTGTAAGTCCGAATATAATTTTGGAAGTGCCTATTTGCAACGGTGCGTTGCGATTAGCGCCAGTGCTAAATAAAACGCAGCGTTGCGATTAGGTGATTAGCGCCAGTGCTAAATAAAACGCTGTGTCGCCATGTGTAAAATATCAAGCTTAATCTGCACATCGTTATCGGAAGTTCTGATGGCTGAAGTGACAGCGCGTCTGCGCTTGGAGCCAAACCATTATTTTTTTTAGCGTGGGTTCGATCCCGGTCCTGGACATTTTTTTTTTTTTTTGGTCCTCTTCTCGACTGACCAACAAATTGTTCCCTTTATTATATCTTGTTGTTTTGTAGTTTTTTTTAATGTAGTGATGAAGCGTGCACATTCTGGTTTTGTTCCCGAGAGGAGCTCTGTACAAAGTAGGCCTTAGTAGTGTATATATAGCCTATACTTTCCCTTTTACCAATTTAGGCTTGGTTAAAGTTCAGTAGTGGCTTTCCTTGGTCTGCGAGTCTAATCTTAAAAAAAAAATTTTTGGCTCAGGAGAAGGAAAAAAAAAAACCCTTTCGGGACCGGGATTCGATGCCACGCTTGGAAGTACTGAACATTAGACTTAGAGAACGTAGACAGTAGACAGCTTGTACACGTTCTCTAGGCCTAACATAAAGTTCGAGTTGCACCGTCTTGTTATTGTTATCCAAGTGTCTTTCGACTTAAACTTGCTCAAACTCTAACTCAGATGATTATATAGATCTAGGCCTATATGATTATGAGAGATGGAACAAGACGTCTACTTTTGTGCAAACAATGTCAGAAACAATTGTTAGATCTCATCTAGATCTAGATTGATCTAGATCTACCCAATATTGATCGGAATAAGACAACGTCATAAAAAAAGGAGTCAAATCCTAGGAGAGGTTTATCAAAAAACTAAGAAAGCTTCCACAATTCAGGCAGAACTACAATATTATCATGTAGAAGCGATGGCTAACTACATCTAGATCTAGTACTGGCGTTTCAAATAGCACGGGAGCTATTCAGAACGCGGCGTTGCAAATAACGCTTGCCAACATTATATAGATCTAGTTTTTCTGTAATTATTTTTTAAAAATCACATCAAAACCTCTTCCTCCAGCAAGCCGAAAGTGCGAGATCACTACGCAGTCTCATAGGTCGACATATATATAATATATATTAATTAACTTTGCCCCGGGCAAGGTCAGCTCAACTTATTCGTTCTCTGCTCATACTAATGATGATCTGGATCTATATCTAGATCTCTAGTAACTGGATATTTAAGCTCACATCTCGACTGTTATCATTATAATCGAAAAAAAAGTTTGTGCTGCTACATATATGCTGGAAATATGGAACAAGGGTCGGAAGTCGGAACCGACGTCATGCTGGACTCAATTCAGAGGCTCTATTTCTCCGAATGCTCGGGAAAATAAACTTGAACTCTATTCCTCCAAACGGTTTTCGTTTTTGTTATTTATATAAATATTTGCGAATAGAGTGGCCTGTGTGTGTGTGTGTGTCGTGTGAGAGTGCGTGTGCGTGTGTATGGTGTGAACGGGGCTTGTGGGGGGGGAGGGATTTTTTTTGTGATTTACTTTTTTGCAAAATAGGTTACTGCCAAAGTCGAGCAGTCTTGTTTTCTCGCAGTATCTTTTGAAGGTATTTTCAAATGAAAAGTACAATGTATACTGTATCGTCCGGGAACGTACAACTAAAATTTTCAAGCTCTAGAAATTGAACTCGATGCAAAAAAAATGCTTCTTCCCAGTCCTCGCAGAATGAATGACAGAACAAAAGATGACGCCAAAGTCTCGCAAAACCAACAAACGGAAACGGTTCAGAGAAATAGAGTTCAAGTCTATTATCCCGAGCGTGAACGGAGAAATAGTCACTTCGTACAATTTTTCTCTATTCGGACTCCGAGTAGATCTAGATCTAGACTTAGATCTAGATATCTACATCTAGATCTAGATATAGATAGATATAGATATAGATTTAGATCTTGATTGTCACTTTGGACACTTTGGTGGATTTAACCCATTTTCACGCAACCAGATCCAAAAAGAGCTCCAGATCTTATCTAACTCTAGATTCTACTCTAGATCTAGAGTCTAGATTTCTAGATCTCTAGATCTAGATCTAGGTCCAATTTAAACCTATCTGCTGGGATAAAGAGGATTAGATTTTTCTAGACTCTAGATGTAGATGTAGATCTAGATTTTAGATCTATTCTAATCTAGGTAGGCAAGACCATGACTTGTATTTCCCGATCATGTCCGAAAACGAGGTCTCCCTCCTTCTGGGTCGTGTGTGCCGCGACCGAGTCTAAAAACTGTGTCAAGAAGCATTCTGTCGTGCTAACATGCATTAACTATGGCCACATTTGTCATAGAACACAGGTTGAACAGGAGATGCTTTTAGTCGTTTGAGGGAAAAACTGGAGGACATGATCACCTAGCACACCTTCCCCCTCCCCCTCAAGGACTGGGACATTGCCATTCTCTCTCTCTCTGCTCGCGCTAGCGACGAAGTCAAAACCACGAAACAAAGGTAAACATGTCGACCAACACTAATATTGACCAACAGAAAGAAAGCCTTGAGCACTGGAGTCAATAAAGAATGCACCTGAAACGATTCACAGTGCGAAACATACCTAAATTCATGTTTCAGCAGCAAAACCGTGGCAATCCATTCACGCCATTGAAACGTTCGTAGTGGAAAACGTTGTTTTCAATCGATGGGCCTATTCACATCAAAAACAGCAGCACGTTCGGAGTCGGAGACGTTCGTGTTTTCTCGGTACTAATCGCCACTCAGGGGAGATGTCACGTGTTCAAAATTTCGCGACTAGCGGCACGTTTCTTTTTCTCAATAGGCCAAAGCTTTACGTCAAGGCCTTTACTCCAGTCTAAATTATCTGATGACGGTGACCAAGCAGAAGAACGAATGCGATGCTCAGAGCGACTGAAGTTCATACAAGGTCAGTGCGCTGGACACTGAATGAAAACGAGCAGAGGCTGAATGAACGAAACCAGGCGCTCCGTTAGCTCAGTTGCTATCATGCTGGACTTCAGATTACGGAGCGGATGGCCATGGTTCGATCCCCGACCAGGTGTTCTTGAACTCGGAATGTGTTGTGGATCGAGTTTTCGAGCCTCTGATAACTCACTTGGCTCTGTCCTATACGAAATGGACGTTAAATTCGGAGGCCCCGCCTCTTGGATAACATAAGTGTGTCGATATGGGCGTTAAACCCCGACACGTTTGCGTATAGGAAACCACACCAGAAGAAATGTATGAAACTATAAGCGTCATTCACCGGCTAGAACTGAAGTGAAAAGGGGAAGGGGGCTGGTGTTGGGGTGAGAATGGATAAGAACCAACTTGGATTTCACACACACACAAACACACACATACAGAGAGAGAGAGAGAGAGAGAGAGAGAGAGAGAGAGAGAGACAGACAGACAGAGAGAGAGAGAGACAGAGAGGAGAGGAGAGAGAGAGAGATCAAAATGAAAAAAGAAATGGCGCACATCCATACACATACATTCAAATACACACACGCCCAAACATTATCAGACGCGCATACACCCTAAGACACCCAGGCCTACACGCTCAGGACATGCAAAAGAAGTGATTAAATTAACCAATTTTTTTCAAGGCTTGCGTTTAGTGCCAGAACAAGAGACATAATCAAGGTTTACGCATAGTTACTGGGAATGATTTGAGTTGTTTCCCTTCTGTATTCGTAAAACAAATTATTCTATTGCTTGACTAGATTTTTCGTGGCCTTGAGGCTAAGGTGCTCGCAAGAGGTGGACAAAATCCGGATAATCTACAAGGATAACCGGATAATTGTCAATGAAACATAATCCGATTTCAGACGCCAAAGTCTCGCAAAACCAGCAAAACGCTCTTTCCAGACCCGTTTGCCGAAGTGGGTGCACCCATTTGTTGAAGTAGTGCTAATCCGTTTGTCGAAGTGGTTCTAATCCATTTGCCGAAGCGGTTCATATCATATTATTTGCCTAAGAGGTGCACTAACATATTATTCGGATTTTGCTAAAGCGACTCATTGCCCAGCCCTAGTGTTCGCCTCTCGTTCAAATGTCCATGGTTCGAATCCGGGTAGCGACCGCAAAAAATGATCTCTTCTCTAAAATCGTCTCCTTTCACCTCTTTTCCTGCTCCCTAGCAATGTTCTGTCGTTTGCTTTCGTCTCCACTTTCTGCCCCCACCCCCTCACTTCCTTTGCCCCCTCCTCTGGGCTCCTGACTCTTTCTGTAGCCTGCCTACTGCTACTCCTCGGCTCCTTCTTACTGCTATCTTTCAGCAACACCCCTGATCTTCAGGTAGGGAAGATCTACACCTAGTCTTCTCGGACAAGGGCGAACAATCTCGGAGATCCCGTGGGCAAGTTGCGCACGTTAATGATCCCTTGATGGTCTAAAATCGATTAGAGTAGGCTTCGGCCGCCACCCGGGCAAAATTCAAAATTTCCTAGCTACCAACTGAAAAATGTTTATTGTGTCCCGCGCGCTCATCTTATGAAATTGCGAGCGTCGTAAAAATAATACTTACCGTAACCCCCACAAAAAACTCCGGTGTTTGCTCGTGTCCACATCTATCAGCTTTACTGGCTTTGAGGGGTGAGTCATAAAGCACACAAACAAGCAAATAAATACCCAACAAAAGAAACGTGTACTCCTACAGTACAGCAAATTATATCCAAAGCTACATATATCATGAATCAATGACTAAGCTTATACGTTGTACCGCATCCGTGTATGAATGCACAAAAAGGAAAAGAGTAGGCTTAATATTATCTGTTGTCGCAATAATTATCATTGTCATTTTGAATTATTATAATATTAGGTAGTACGGTGGGAGAAAAAATATAGATGAAAAGTACCCCTTCTTTAAGCCAATAACATGAGAGTAAATTGTTGGAAACTTGGGAACAGTCTTATTATTTCTCCTTTAATGAACCCCCCCCCCCCCCAACAAAAACAAAACCCCCCAAAAGAGACTAAATAGAAAAAAAGAAAAAGAAAAACCCCCCCACACACACAAAAAAAGAAGAACGCGATTGAAATTGCAACTTAATCAGCTGTTGAAAAGTACAAATGTATCTCTTTCTTGTATGTGATAGATACTGAATTATTACCCCCCCCCCCCCCCCCCTTTCGAAAAAATAAACTAATTAATTTGAAAAATAATAAAGATAATGCCATGCGACCAAAGGGCTAAGGAAAATAAAGTCCTGGCTTTGCATTATATTAAATTTCGGAGCAAAAACTGTAAATAAAATACAAAGGAACCTCTACCCCCAAAAAGAATACACCAATAAATAAATAAATAAATAAATAAATAAATAAATAAATAAATAAATAAATAAATAAATAAATTAATTAATTAATTAATTAAAAAACGAATAAAAAGAAAGAAAGAAATCCCACCATGCCACTCTCAAAAGTTCGGCTATAATTTGATAGGAAACTACTGTTTATCCAAATCAGGGGTCACCAGTTTTTTTCCAACTCGGCAGGATAGCTAAAATAAACAACCGAGGGAGAGAGAGAGAGAGAGAGAGAGAGAGAGAGAGAGAGAGAGAGAGAGAGAGAATATATCTTTGAAACTTTCAGTATTTCTCAAAAAAATAATTGTGACAGACTGCTACGCAAAGCGTACGGATCTGATTAATGAGTAATTTTCCTCTCTGGAAAGTGCTGGCACAGAGTTCCCCACGTCGTATGGATACGATACTGTAGTAAATATGACATACGGATAGGGTTAATCAAGCCTTGTTACTGGGATGGTGTTTCTGGGCTTAGATTGCGGGCGGGTTAGTAACTAATGACATGTGTATTGTGTACACCAGTGCTCTAGGTGTAGAAATCAGAGAAATGATAAAACTAACACCCTTGTGTTGTATCAGTGAGTTGAACTAGTTTTGAATTAGAATAGTTTTCTTCAGTGCAGCAATGAATCGAGTTGAATACTTGTTGGAAACTCGTTTCACCTCTATGCCATGTGATGATATAAGCTCACTGTCAAGATACTGGGGCCACAGAACAATATTTGCACTGTGTTGTGGATGAAAAACTAAAGAGATATTTTAATCATGAACAGGGCGTCTTGAACAAGGCACAGTTCAACCAAAAAGTCATGGGCACATTTGCTCAATATGAAAACCGAAGGGCAATTATAAATTATACACATCCTTTATAACCTGAGGGGTCTGGAGACGGGTTCCTTTTTCTGCAACAAATCCAAATTACATTTCAGAGATTTTTGAAAGTTTTGGTTGCATATTCTTTTCATAAGCACTTGCAGGAAGACTTTACTAAGATTACTCATTAGACTGATTGTCTTGTGCTGCTCACATTCTGCTGTTCCAGTTTTATTTTTGTTGTTGTTTTTAGGGACTTTTTTTTTGGGTAATGCTATGCTATAAAGATTGACTTCTTCAGATCTTTTCGTACCTCTCCGAAGTTAAAATGTTATTAAGGTGTTCAGCAACGTCGTCACTTCTTTGATACCCACCCTTTCTAGTGCTGTGATTGTTTCGATGGGTGTATTGTCTGGGCCCGGTGCATGGAAGATCTCGCACCATATATTTCAATTACATACGTACGAAAATGGTGAAAGAAATAAATGTTTGCTAATCGCATAAAAAAGGTTGAATAATTTTGTTTACTCGTTTTAATAAATTTGGTCGTTTGAAATTTATCTCTGCGGACAGGGGGGGAAACACTTTAAAATAGTGACATTCTCTTTTTAGAAAAAGCACCAAAATGACTTTAAAAATTTATAAAAATAAAAACGCTAAAATGGATGCGGACAATTTGTAGCACATTTTATTGAGCAACGTCAAAGAACACATACATGTAGTTGTAAATATTCAAAGGAAAGGAATACATTTAATCATTGTGCTCAACATAATGTTTTTATTTCAACTGTAAACATTCATCCATTTGTTTCTAAAAACTATGAATCACTCGTTAACTATTAACACAAGTGCTGGTCGATGCAATAAATTTAATTTGCGACGTTCTCTTTCAACTCGTCTATTGTTTAAGGGTGCCCTTAAGGGACCCTCCCCCCCCCCCCAATAAAAATTAGATCTAATGGGTTCAAGTCCAGGCTGTGAGGAAGACATTAAAATTTGCAAATCGTGTTGCGTGCAGCCGATGACTGGGTTCTGGAAATTAAAGTGGAACCAGAGAGTTTACAGTGATACTGTATTACTGTAAACCCTCTCTGGTGGAACCAAGTCAGGGAGAGCACTGACTGTATGGGGTATGGCCCCATCCTGCTGAAACTATGCGTCAGATACAAGCAAAATGATATCATTCGCAATATCATTCGAACGGACCCACGCTTCAGATGCATTACTTGACGAGTCAACTGTCTCACTGACATTTAAACATGAGCTTTTATTTTGTCCTAAACGCGCTTGATGTTCCTTTCAGTTCTTGATCTTTATTTCCCAGGAATCAACTAAGTGCTCATTGTTTTGGATTCAGGGTTAGGGCTTAGTTGCATTATAAGGCCTATAATACAAGTACGTGAAATTTACGTGGAATTTACGTATTCTCTGTACCCAAAGTTATCCTATAAACAATCGTCAATTTTTGGTGAGATTAGTTTGCAAATATAGAAATTGTTAAAAAAATTAAATATAATAATACTTTTTTTCAGTCGTCCTGTACATACATAGTACACACATACACTGTGAGTGTGTGCGCGCGCGCGCGTGTGTGTGTGTGTGTGTGTGTGTGTGTGTGTGTGTGTGTGTGTGTGTGTGTGTGGCAGGGGTTGGTGGGGGTGGATGTGGTGGGTGGGGGGTGGTGATGGTGAGAGAACGCAAGTTTAGAGAGCATTATTCCTGTCAAGATAAAAAGGCCCGTATAAAGTTACTCTAGAGCACTGAAGAATTTCTCATCTTTTGCCACCCCCACCACCCTTTTTTTGGTACCCACCCCAGTTATATTGTATGTACCGGCTATCTTTGCACCAATTTCACAAAACTTCCAACAAATAAAATTCAACTAGGACGACATCACGTAGTAAATAGGACAAAAATCAACGTCTGTGTTCAAGAAACATCAAGTTAAAAAGTTTTTAATCAAAATGGGCTTAGACGTAAAACTGTACTACATAAAAGTGCTCAGCTACAGGGGAGTGATCGGTCCGTTCTTGTTTCAGGACGAAAACGATACAACGACGAGTCACATCAGATGGATATCTCATCGTGCTTAAAAAGTTAAGGCGGGGTTTTGGGAAGAGAAGGTGTTATGCTGGTCCGGAAGCCTAGTTCTAGTGGAATGGGGCCACACCCCACACGTCAAGAGTGTCCTGTGTAAGGTTGCTAGAAGGTTTGAGGAGCCACTTATAAACCGAAAGCTTTTCAATGATTTCCTCTGTTTCTT